TTCACGTTTTCAGCACGTCGCCCAGCTCCTGCATTTGCAACCCTTTCGCTGTAGGTCTATTCACCAGAATGTCGCCCATGGACGATCAGCCGTGTCCCTGAATCGACGCGTCTGGCCCGTCCACGTTTGCACGAAAAACGCCGGTGCTCGTTGGAGCGCATGAGCCCAGACGACCATACGGGCTATTTTTCGTAGGCCTGTTTACGTGTCCAAGGTGATGCACTTATCCGTACGCCGTACTACGACAAGCTTGTCCTCCTAAGGAAGAGTGCCTGAATGGGGCATCGTGCTGCCGATTTCTTTGTTCACTGTGCATCTTTCGTTTGGGTATGTTCAAGGTGCTGTCGCAGTGAAAGCATGTGAAAGACAGTTGCTCGTCCGGACTGCCACTCTGCAAAAGTACATTAAATATATTACACAGTACAGGCGCCATATAAAAATGGGGCATGGCCCGCTCACGAACCAAAGTGGGGGCTCTTGCCACGCGAGCGGCATCCTCGACACCTCGACACAATTGCAGGAAGAGCATATTGTGCCATGCTGTAAAACCAGCAATTACAAATATTGGGGAGCATCTAACGCGGCACAGTCCTACCTGCTTTGTTCATCCCTCCTGCAATTCCCCGCGCACGCCGACTTCGTCAGTACGGTATATGCGACGCGCATCAGTGGCTTTTAAGAGGCTGCCCACTCACACTTTTCCACCGAATGTATTGAGGCTAGTGACGCCTCAACATGCAAGGCCTGGCTTAGCTGGGTTAATGGGGCGCTCTTTTTCCAGTCGGGTGGTTCTTTGCGTCGGTGTTGTGCTGTCTCTCGAAACTGTGCGTTTGTCTATCACCCTGATGTGTACTTTAGTTTACATTCTTTTGCCACTTGGGTCCTCTTATTTGTTGCATGTCGTCAGCTATTTCGATTACTCCACAGCTTTTGGAGTCTGAGAACATGACTCGTGGGTCCAGATGATCACGATTTGGAGAACTTCCGCTTGGATCTTGGAGAACAAGCCTGTGTGTTAACATGTGTGTTAGAGGGAACCATAAGGTAAGAACGAGTAAAGATGACGTTACGGAACAAGTTTCCCCAATATACCTGCCATACCATGTTGCCCAATTGTCGCAAGGTATATTTGTCCCTGGGAACTCAAAGGCGGAATTCTTGAAAAGGCTAGTCATTTGTCCAGCATACAGGGGAAAACGGGAAACAACCCATTCGCGGATTTGGATATCGATTTCGTCGAAATTGGCCGTTCTGCCTTCTCGGTCTTCTCTTCCCTCTTTCGCACGGTTGACTTCCCGTCTTCGTCCTCTTTGACCCTCTCGTCTCTCGTCTCGCTTTCCTTCTCGCTCCGATTCCTACCGGGCAAGGCCCGGTAATAGCTGACGCGCACTTGTCCATTTTGGTCGCTAGTTCTCAAGCAATCTCGACAAGCAAAGGTGGTTCCCAGCAAGACAAACACTAGCATGACAAGCCTGCGTCGACAAGGACCCGCCCCGGTGTTCTTCGTCCGACGGGCCTTCTTTGCCTTTGCTTTGCGCTTTTTGACTCTTCACACAGAATATCTACACAGTGAGGACGTTGACGACAAAGAGGGGGTGCTCGAAGGGCAAATTCCGGCGGCTCTTTATGACACGCGTCAGGCTGGTCACCATCACAAATTTCCAATTTTCCAATTTTCCTTGATATGCGATCGATACCAGCAAGGACTGCCCTCATCATCCGTTAACCTCTTGTAGCCGTTGCAAAGCGCCACACGGAAGGAAATAGATACAGGCTGTATGACCACCAGTGCAACATTGCTGTTTTCCCCTCACGTCCTCACGTCCACATCCTCTCACATCCTGAACCCTTGGAACTTGCGACTGCTGCATGGTAAGACGATGGCTTGCAGCCGATGGTCGGACAGTGGGGTTTCGTTGCCATCTGTCTGTCACCCCCAGTCGTCAAAGTGTCAGGGTTGGATGGTAAATGGTAAGGAGACGGGGGGATTCATCGTTCCTAATTGGTGTGAACCGCGTCTTCGGTGGCCCATGCTCCCTGGACTCTTCGACCCTTGTTCATTTTTTTTTTTTTCAGTACGAAGTAGAGCCAAGGCATGCCTCGCTGTAAATGCTCTGTATTCGTCCCAAAAAGGCATACAACCCACGGCGGCCGTGGCGCGGGACCCCCATGCTGCTTGTAAATATAGCAGTCTGGAAAATGAGAGGCATTGTAGCACACAATATGCCGGGTATTCATACGATTTCGTCTGGGTGATTTGCAGCAGGACGAACCCCCAACTTCCAATGTCGTCCCGCTCCTGGTAGAGAAAGGAAGAGTAGTGAGATATGCATCTTTCTCTTTCTGGTTCCCGTACAAAACCCACATTCGGACGCGCTCCGTGCCAACAGGCCGCCGGGCGTGGGATGTGCCGCCTTTGAGCTTGCAAGAGGTTTGCAGCACGAGTAGTAATTACGATGTTCTACCTCCCGCCTTTTCTCTGCTGTCTTCTGTCCCATACACACAGTACTTGCTCCTGCTTGCCTCCCGCTCCACTCCTCACCCACCTTGCCAAGTGCAACAACACCCACTCCAACACTCATTCCCATCTGCAGGCGTCACTGCTTGTTCACACCCGGGTCTTGTCTGTGTACGACGAACCATGTTCGTACCCTGCTAGACTAAAAGGCGGACCCCGTGTCTGACGTACCGCCTAGTCTAGCCCGCTAAACCACCATCCGTGCAACTCTTCACTTTGTCGCTAGGCCGGAGGATGCGCACTGTCGAGGTTAGTGCGCCCGACCTAGTTGTCCTAGGGTGTGAGGAGGGAGAGCGTCGAAGAGTCAGAGTATTCAGTGTTGATATTGGTTCTCCCTCTAATGACGTCTCTGTTTGGCGCTGCCAGGAGCCTCGTGCTCCGCGTAACTACATCTTGTTTGTCCTTTGTGTAGTATATTGCACTCGACGTTATCTGTAGGCTTCTTGAGGCCGTTGTATACATCCTCTCACTATTTCCTATGCTTCTCGACGGGTATGGTATCATAGGCGTCATAGGTCGCAGTCGTTGCTTCGTCGCACTTGGCGCAGCGCAAAGCCCCATCCCACTGTAGTGCCACGCTCCCACTTTGTAAAGCACAAAACTGAAAACTGAAAACTGACAGCATGAGACTTAGACTTGGGTAACTCTATGCTCCTTCGTCAGTTTCGCCGAGGCTGTTCTCTGCCCACCAATTTACGCTATTTTGTGGCTGCTCTTCCTACTCCGTACTTTCGTTAGTCTCTGCCGTCATCATCTGTTCTCGCTGCTGCAATGGCCTGCAAGAGGCAACTGGTGTCGGACGCTGTTTCTTCAATGAGAAAGAACGCGACAGACGACGAAATAGGAAAGGAGGAACGGGTCCAACTAAGAAACAGCTTCAAAATGGCGTCCGGGAAGGAGCGAATAGAAAGAGACAAGAAGAGCTTCAGCACAACGAACAGAAAAGACGACCAGCATAAGTAGGAAGCGACAGGGGGTGGCGGAAGAGCAAAAACCCGCTGGTGCGGACCCCCAACCTCGAAAGACAGCCATAGAGGCGACCCCCATTTTCATTTTCCGTCTCTGCTCTTGGCTGCGGGCATCAGTCCTCGCTTGTCTCCTGCGTATTCCCACACTCTCTTGGTTCGTTCCTTCATCCGCGCCTTTTCTACTTTTTTCTGCCCTTCGGTCTTTCTTCTCGCAGCCCACCCTGCATGCGCCACGGTCGCTGTTGCCCACAAATGCAATCGGAACCTACTTCCGGTCCGGAGGCAGTTGCATGCGCCGTAGAGAAAATAGCAATGTTAAAGCAGACGGGGAAAGTGCGAACGAAAATGGCATGCAGCGTCCTAAATGAGCGCAAGAGCACACCGTCGTCCCATGTGGAAAGGCGGAAGGTACGACCTGCCGGCTTTTTCGTCTGGTCAACTTCGTCGACTTTGTCGACTTTTTGCCCGTTGTTCCAGCGTCCGCTGTAGGCACTACTGCCGTAGGCCCGGTGCGACACTGTAAGGCGCTGTACTTCCCGGCCCCCCATCCACATTCGTCAATTTCCCTCGTCGCCTTCGTCTCGTTTGCCTGTCGCTTTATTTTTATTACTCCCAATCCCCGTCCACCTCGATTTTCCTCATTCGATTCTTGTTTTCGGTCCCTTCCTATTCCTTCGTCTTTCCCCCTCCTTTCGCATTTTCGTTTATTGAATCCTCGTCGTCCGCTTCTCCCCCAGTATTTTCTTTCGTGTCGTTGCTTCTCTGCTCTCCGGCCTCTCTCTCTTTGCCCTCGTCCAGCTGTGCATTCCAATTCGCCACTCGCCTCGAGACGGAAGAGTCAGAGTCGTAAGCAGCCTCTTGTCCTCCTTGCGTCCAAACCCGAGCAACGGCCAGCAAACCAGACGTTGGAGGAGCAAAGAAACAAAAGCATAAACGACGACTCGTCAGCCTTGCCCGATAGACTCGAATCGGCACTCTTATAAAACGATCGATCGTGTTCCGCCGCCTGCACTGGACCCTGGAGAGAACCCGCCAAGCGGACGAACCGGCCTACGTGGGGACGCAGAAAGAGCCAAAAAGAGGTTTTTCTCTCGTAATTTTCCGCCCATCCCCCGCGCTTTCTTCTCTTTCTCCATCCTTTCCATCACCACGCAAACCGCCTACCCTTCCGTCATCGTCGACGTAATACCAAGCACAATAGGCCTTGCCCACCTTGTTCGAGTGTGCTTCCTTTGTTTTTTGCGACGTCGTTTCGCATCGACTAGTATCGTCGCCATTCCGGAGGACCCTCCTTGGATCACACTCGCCCTCCGCCCCCGTTCTCTCGGAATCAGTCCCGACGCAACGGCCCGGCATTGCGTTCGAACTCGACTTCTCCGCGGCGCACGACGAAGACAGTCGTCGGCCGAACCGGACAATTGCATTGTTGTAGTTGGACGTCCGCTTGACTGTGCTACATTTGTTTTACTTTTCTTTTCTTCTTTTTTTCCTCCTCTTCTTCACGGCTGGCCGCCATGATGGGCGCCGGCACGACGTCGCCGCATGGCACGTCGAGTCCCATGATGAGCATGAACACCACAACAACAGAGCACGACTTCCGCTTTCCCCGTAGACCAACGGGTGGTCCTGGTGCGGTCCACGGGCCGCCTGGCCAGCGCCAGCAACACAACCACCACCACTACCACAACAACAACAACCTCAGCCTCGATTTCCCCAGTCACCACTTCGAGCAGCATGACTTTGGCACCATGGGTGCCATGGCTGACATGCACACGTCGGTTTCGACCATGGCGCCGTCGCACCCCGTGGATGCCGTGGCACCGCCCACCAGTCCGTCCGCCGCTGGCCGTCTGGGCCTGGACGTGGATACATTGTTTCAGTCGGCCCAGAGCCATCTGACGCGCGACGATGTGTTTGCCGATCTGCGACGGGGTGCCAGCGGCAGCAACACTTCGGCGACGCCCGGCAACCCCGAGGAGATGCAGAAGCAGGACCCTCTGGCCACCGAGATCTGGCGCTTCTTCTCCAAAACGAAGCAGCAGCTGCCCAACATGGAGCGCATGGAGAACCTGACGTGGCGCATGATGCACGTTAAGCTCAAGTCGGCCCAGCCCACAATGTGAGTGAAGTCTCCCTTTGCAGGACTCGATGAGATAACAAAACGTAAAAGATCTCCACGTCACGATAACACATTGCTAACCGTAATCTTCATATCATAGGCCCCCGCCTCCGAAGGCCGCCCCTGTTGCCAACGCCCCGAGCGGCATCGCCCAGCTGCGCAAGTCCAGCGAGCAGAGCATGTTGTTCCAGAAGAGCAACAACCACCACCAGCCAGCCTACGGCGTGCCCGGGTCATCCAGCGACCACATGAGCATGGACGACTTCATCGACCCGCGCAACGTGGCGTCGTCCGCCGACGTCACAGCTTTGACCCCGGATGCTGCTGGTGGCATGATGATCCCCGGCAGCAAGGACCGCCACTTGTCGGCTCACGCCGTCGCCGGCGCCATCCCCATTAAGTCCCGCCGGGAGTCTGGAAAGCCGTTTGTTCCCCAAAGCGTGCCCGTCGCCCAGCACCAGGTCGGCCAGGACGAGTTTGCCTACGTCACCCGCCATCACCGCAAGACGAGCATCGACGACCGTCGGGTGCGTCCTCCTCCTCCTCCTCCTCCTCCTCCTCCTCCAGCTCCAGCTCCAGCTCCAGCTCCCACTTCCCACCCCTCTTCCTACCAAGGCCCTGGACCCAAACTCAAACTAACAACTCAGACACGGAAACGGCCTGCCAACTTCTCGCCCCATGTGCCGGCTTCTGGCAGCACGGCCGATTTGGACGTCGACCCGGAACTTCAGGACTACGCTCTGGACCACACCATCTCGAATGGTCTCACCAACCGCGACCACCCCACACCGAACGGCATCCCCTTCCCTCTGGACTCCTTTATGGACAATGATGCCCTGTTGACCTCGGCGGGCCCGTTCCAGCAGCAATTCTGCATTTCGCCCTCCTCGTCTCCCATGGTCAACCATGGCCTCTTCTCCAACCTGTACGGCAACAGCGGCCCCTCCATGCCTTCGTCGTCCATCCCCACGACGGCCGACTACTACTCTCCGCCCGGTTCGGCCTACCACTCAACCGCCTCGACCCCGCACCCGCTTAACGACGGCAGTGTCGGCGGGCCCAATGGCGATGGCTTCTACTTTGGCGCCATGGACATCCGCGGCCCGTCCCAGCGTGGTCCTCAGGGCTTCCGCCAGGGTGCCCCCTCGACCACGAGTGCCATCTCGTCGTCGATCGCCAGCAGCATCACGACGACTGCAGGCCACTCGGCAAACCCGCTCATGTACGGCAGCAGTGCGGGCAACAGCATCTTCCAGCCGAGCTCCATGTCGACCACGGGCCCCGAGAGCGTGTCGGGCTTCTCGACCTCTTTTAGCCACATCGACCCGACGCAGGTCTTCCACCAGCAGCACCACGATGCCCAGGTGTCGGCTCCGTCCCCGGGCCTATCCAACAGCAACAACTTGTTGAGCGACAACATGTTTTCGTTTGGCGCCGATTCCGATGCCGACGAGGAGGAGGCGGGCGCGTTTGCTGACCGCAACATGACCATGAGCAGCGGCGAATACTCGCCCGGCATGGACGACCCTGGCATGGACGGAAGCAGCGGTGGCCCTGGCTCGGTGGGCAACGGCAGCAACCTTGGCTGGGACGCGTCTCTTCCTGGCCAGTTCAGCACCCAGGCGGCACGCTACCCGGGTGGCATCCCGCCACGCAAGCAGGTCACGATTGGCGGCACCACCACCAACGATTTCAGTGACATGAACACGGTGGAGTGGGACGGTAGCAGCAGTTCCATCAACGCCACCGGCAACAACCACAACAGCAGCGGCGCCAGCAGCCTCACGCGCTCGCAGTCGCAATCTTTCCGCAACGGCAGCATCAGCGGCGCCTCCACCACCGCCGACCGCCGCCAGCAGAAGGTGCCCCGCACGGCCTCGACGCCCAACGTCAACCGCGCCGGCAGCATCTCGGGCGGCTTTGACATGATGGGCCAGTCGAACCCCAATTCGCCGCCCAACGACCTGGGTGGCCACGCGTCAGGCTACAGCTCCGTGGCGCCCAGCCGCCCGTCCACGCCGCCCATGCCTGGCTCCAAGCACGGCTCGTCCACCAACTTGCAGGCCCAGGGCGAGTCGTCGGCCCCGACAACGTGCACCAACTGTTTCACGCAGACCACGCCGCTGTGGCGCCGCAACCCCGAAGGCCAGCCGCTGTGCAACGCTTGTGGTCTCTTCTTGAAGCTGCACGGCGTCGTCCGCCCGCTGAGCTTGAAGACGGATGTGATCAAGAAGCGCAACCGTGGCTCGGGTGCCAGTCTTCCCGTGGGCGGCACGAGCACCCGGTCTGGCAAGAAGGGCGGCGCATCGGCTTCCAGCACCCGCAAGAACTCGACGCTGTCCATGACCGCCACGGCCTCGTCGTCCAACGTCACTATCCAATCGGCCGCGGCTGCGTCGTCGAGCGTCACGACACCGCCCTCGCAGCTCAACCGCGCCGGCAGCATCAACGACAGCGAGAGTCCTTCCAGCGGAAACGGCGGCAACACAGCCGGCAGCACACCGGCCAGCTATTCTGGTTCTGTCAGTGGCGGCAAGGGTGTCGTGCCCATTGCTGCGGCGCCGCCCAAGAACACGCCCGGTCCTGGTGCTGCGTCCCTGCCGCGTGCTCTCGCTGCCGCGTCGTCGTCGTCGTCCACCACGTCCAAGCGCCAGCGCCGCCACAGCAAGAGCGTCAGCAATATAAACGCCAGCAGCTCCGCTACCAACACCACCAACACCACCAACAACAAAAACCAGTCCATGGCCGTCACGCCCAGCGACGTCGGCCTCGGCGGCAGCAGCATCATGGACATTGACAGCCCCGCCAACTCGACGGGCTCCAACGACGCGTCTGCGCTGTCCATGAGCGCCAGCACGGGCCTCAACTTTTTGGATAAGCACACCAGCAATCTGGGCCTCGCCAATGCCTTCGGTGTCACACAGCGCCCGATTGTCAGCCCCAGTATGATCGGCATGGGCCCTGCGGCCTCGGGCGGCTCGATGATGACACCTGGTGGCTCGGCGGGCGGTCCACAGGAGTGGGAGTGGCTCACCATGAGTCTTTAATCTTGCCTGATTTGTGTACTATTTTTTTGAATTTCTTTCTTGCACATCAACCTCATCGTTTTCTTCATTTCATTTGTTACACCTTTGGGGCCGACAGACGAGGAGATGATACATGACGACTGACATGTCCATATACTTGGGGCGGTTGCGTTTTTTTTTTTTTTCGCGTCCTTTACTTTTCTTACCTATTTGATATCCAGGGCAGGGGACGATCTGACGATATGCTGGGAGTTTTTATGTTTGTTTTTTATATTTTCATTTTCCTGCGTGTTTTGCGTTTACGTCATTCCTGTCCGCGTTGTGTGCCGGTTGTCGGACACGTTTAGACAGCAGTAGAACCTGTGGGATACCCCCCGAGTGTGGATTTTGTCGTTCCTTGTTGTTTTTGGAATATATAGACTGTGCTTGACAGACGCACCCAACACTTGAACATATTACTGCTATCCACAACCCGACGCGGTATTTAAACATGGAATCAGGATACGAAGTGGATTTCTTCTTTTATTTCTATATTAACGGTACGTTCTCTTCATAGTATTGAGTATGAACATGTTTGATCGTGTGTGGATAATATTATACTCCGGGAAGTGGTTGTTTAATGAAAAGCCCAGTTTGTAGAAATCAGATACGATGAATGACGAAAACTATGTTTCACATACAAATGGCATGTGATGGTAATTAGATGCCGTGTCATGTTGGCAGCTCGTCTTTTGTCTTGCTTCTGTCGTTTTCCTCGGAACTGTCAGTTTCGGACAGGTGATCTCAGCCCTTCTTACAAGCGGGCTCGAGGCGGGCTCAACCCCTAAATTGCGATCCTTGAGTTCATGTTTCCAGTGACCCATTGAGCGCCGACGTAATTAGCCGCAATTCAAGCACCACGCTAAGAACGGGCTTATCGATAAGCGCGCGCCGTCGTCTTGAAGTGCACTGTTTCGACTCGTCCCAAATGGACAAAGCGGAGACAATTTGCCAGATTGGGCAGGTCCTCCTCTCCGTCGCCTTCCCTCCTTTCTGTCTTTCCACATCACGACTATGCCTGGACGGCAGGTCACACCTGCGCTCCTGCCACAACCGCCCTCGTGGGCTCGTCTCTCACTGTTTACGTCGTTTGAAGAACGGTGACACTCCTTTTCGCGGCATCGGTCGTCCGTTTCGTCTCGTCCTCTTCGCAAGCCCCATCTCTCCTCCCACGCCATTCTCCCGCACTCCAATCGCGACAAGAAGACCACGCTCCACGCTCACTTCGATTTTGGAGACATCTCTTAACCTCCCCCCCCACCTCTCAACACAATGACAGCTGCAGACTCCTCTATCTTCTCACTGCCTCCAGGGCGGCCAAATAGCCAAGCGACAGCTGTCCAAACCTCGTCCGCGAAGCCATCCCAACCTGCGCAACCACCACCGACAACGACATCGTCATCTTCCTCCTCCCAGCCGACGGGACTGAAGGCTGCTCTACCAGCCCTCACTACCGACTTTGACGGCCCCTTTCCTGGCCTGACACGATCCTCTACGCTCCCTGCTTCCTTACAATCAGCCGCCGCCTCGGCGTCGAGGCCGGCATGGGCTCCCGTGTCGGCAGCGACCAGCCGGCGCGCCGATCCGTACCACCTCGCTCCGGAAGACGCCTTTTACTCATCCATCTCGCCGCCATGGGACCGCAACGCGGCGCGGAATAGCAACAATAGCAACAACAGTGCTAAGAACAACAGTACCGCGGCGACTGCCAGCAGCAATGTCTCGGGCAGCGAGCTGCCGCAGGAGTCGCGCCTCAGCGCACGGCAGTTGCTACGACCCGGTGGACTCAGCAGCAACAATCTGCGACGGTCTGCGTCGGGCGTGATGAGCGGTTTGGGCGGTGGTGGCGGAGGCGGCGGCGGAGGCGGCGGTGGAGGAACAGGCGAATCCCGCAGCCGCAGCCGCCGCCGGCGGCGACGCACGTGGAAGAAACTGCTCTGGGTCAAGCAGTCGTACCCGGACAACTACACCGACCAGGCCACCTTTCTCGAAAATCTCCAGCGCAACCCCCGCCTGCAACCGTACGACTTTTGGCCGCTCGTCGCCGACTCCACGGTCATAGTGCAACACGTGTGCTCGGTGATCATCTTTGTCATTTGCTTCGTCGGCATCGCCCAGGACCGCGTCAGTCCTGTGTCCGTGGTCGGCTGGGGCAGCATCGCCACGTGCATGGGCTGGCTTCTGTGGGAATGGTGGGCCGGGCAGGAGCAGCAGGAGCGGCAGGCCGAGGGCTTGGACGACGACGACGAGTACATTGGCAGCAGCAGCAGAGCCCCCAGCCGCAACGATCTGGACGGCTTCCCCAGTCCCAACGGGCAGCGCATGGGCCGGCGGGGCAACGGGGGTACCGCCAGTGTGGCCAGTGTGGCGAGCGCCACAAGTGCCGCAAGTGGCGACCAATCGCCGCCAATGTCCTCGCTTGCGCCGCACTCGGCACACTCGAGCCAATCCGCCAGCCGTCTGTCCAAGCACTCCGAGGCGTCGACTGCCGATACGACGCCCAGCCTAGCAGCGTCCACAAACAGCTCGACAAGTTTTCTCGACATGTCGACCCGCCACAGCCGCGTGGGAAGCGGCAAAGGCCACGCATCATATGCCAACAGCAATGTCGGTGGCAGCGGCAACGGGAACGGAAGTGTCGGCACCGGCAGAAGCACAGGCACCAGCACAAGCACAAGCAGCTCGTGGCAGCCGGTGGGCCACTCCAGCAGTTTATCCCAAGTCAGCAACGGCAGCAACACGACAAGCGGCCCTGCCGCCTCCTCTTCCCATCGACCAGCCTCCTCGCACGGTCGGTCCGCAGCAGGAGCCGAGCACCATGTGCCGACCACACCAGCAACACCGCGCTACCCGCCACCGCGACGCCCTTTGACGCCTGTGCGTGGCGGCCGTGGCCATCACCGCATTGCTACGATCAAGTCTGCCGTGCTCATTTACTTCACCCTCCTCGGCCTGTCGCCCATCCTCAAGTCGCTCACGCGCTCCACGTCCTCCGACAGCATCTGGGCCATGTCTTTTTGGCTGCTCACCATCAACATCTTCTTCTTTGACTACTCGGGCGTCTGGGTCGGCGCCCACAAGTTCCCCGTCGCCTCCCTCTCCACCAATGCCGCCCTCATGGCCTCCACCGTCCTCGCCAGCCGCCTGCCCTCGACCGGCCAGGTGTTCAGTCTGACCCTGTTCAGCATCGAGGTCTTTGGTCTGTTTCCAGTCTTTCGGCGCTATGCTCGCCACCGTAGCTGGCAATACCACATCGGCCTCACCGTCCTGCTCGTCCTCGGCGCCGGCGCCGGTGTCGGCATCATACTGACCGAGCCCAGCGACGGCCTCCCCTGGCGCGGTGCGACGGCCGGCATGGTCGTCGCCTGTCTGCTGTCGGCTGTCGCGATGGGCGGTTGCAGTTGGTGGCTGATTGGTCTGCAAAAGTACAAGAACGAGATCTACGGGCCCTGGGACCCGGCACGGCCAGTCATCATCAGCCGACGGCACTGGAATGATGTGTAGGGGTTGGCGTTTGGCAGCTTGGGTCTCCTTCTTCGTATCTCATATTTCGCATAATTATTGATTGGTCATTGGGGCAGGCAGCGCGGACTCACAAAAACACAATTCACATAGCATAGACATGATTGGGATGACGATAAGCGATAATTTAATACCAGGATAGCAACTGAGCCGTCTCTCCAGACGCTACGAGAAGCGCATTTACTCAATCGGGATGTATTCTGTGCAATGAGCGGCGGCCTTGAAATTGGAGACGTTCGAGTGACAAAGTACGGCGTTCCATACGTAATACAACGCAATTAAACTTGTATATGCGCTGGTGCCCAGCCACTGGCAAAAGTCCTTTGCGATCAAGGCATGAGAAAAAAGACCGCCGCCCGTCCTAAATTGGAAAGAAGCAGCCAACCTCGGGACTCTCCCGTCGCGATTTGCGAAACAGGATGGAACGATCGTTGCTGGGGCAACTGTAGATTGTGTGTAGTGGGGCAATTGTGCCCGCCAAACCGGACAGCTCCCCTCCAGCACCTGCACCTGCGCTTCTCCGACAATGCAGAGGAGCCCAATGCCCAATCGTGCCTTCCCAGTTGTTGTTTTTCCCATTTATTTTTTTCTGGGTCCCTTCCTCCACTCCTTCCCTCTTCTGTGCTCCATAGCGACGCCATTTCTGCAGGCCCAACGTCGAAGAGCAGTCAATATATTCATTCACAGCAGCACGGTGACGGCCACGGACTGCTGCAGTGTCTATCCATTTCCACTTTCATCGACATTCTTTCGTTCGCTTTTCTTGCTCGGGACAACCGCGCATTCTTTGGCAAAAGCTCGCCCCATTTGAGACGTGCCTAAGAAACGACAAGTAGCAAAGCAAACCCGAGCCGGCCCTTTTCCTGGTCGTGTTTTCTTTTCTTTTGCTCTTCTCTCCTTCGCCATCCTCATCATTGTCGCTCTCTTTTGTTTCCTTTGCATTCACGTCTGTCTCTCTCGAGGCTCCGACGTACTAGTATCGAGTCTCTTGCCTCCAAACATCCCTTCTGTCCTCCTCAGCCCTTGTCCACATCCATCGGCAACATGGCCAGCTTCATGGCGAACCTCCTCGACCGGGCCAACACGGCCGTCTCGCGTCCCGAGACACCGACCAAGAACAACTTCCTCACACCCACGAGCACGCCCCAGGGCAGCCCGAGCAAAAAGACGCTGCCACCGGGCGCGTACGAAGTTGGGACCGCACAGGACAACAGCGGCATGGCCAGCGGGCCGAAACAGAGCAACATCATCGTGCCCATCCCGAGCCTCTTTGACAACGCTGTGCGTCTCGGCCGGCCGCAGACGTCGGGCGCGGGCAGTGCCTCCAACAACACAAACACCCCTACGACTGGATCCAGCCAACCTTTGTCGCCCTCCAAGGGCAACAGCCTGCAGCCGCACCAGCAGCTCCTCGAAGATCCATTTGCCATCGATGATAGCGTCGTCCACAAGAAGTCGGCTGTTTCACCTGCCAACAAGGAGAACAAGGCCGTCGGCAGCAAGGGCGAGACACACGTGGGCGTCACGTCTTCCGCCTCGCCCGCATTGGCAACAGTCGATGCCGGTGCGGGTGCGGGTGCGGACGCGTCCTCGGAGCACAAGGGCAAGGAAAACCTGCAACCTTCAACGCGTCTGCCGGTGCCCACCGACGCGGCCAGCCAGCAGCAGCAGCAGCAACAGCAACTCCACCAGGGCCATGCCGCCGCCACGCGGCACGAGCTCTACCAGCAGCCCACCCGCGAGCGGCCCAACACACCCAACGTCAAGAAGTTCAACACCTCGCGCGGCCTGACGCCCGAGGAGCTCGAGATCCTCAAGCGGCCCAACGTGCGGCGTCTCGTCAACGTGACGCAGCTCTACTTCCTCGACTACTACTTCGACTTGCTGACCTACGTCGGGTCCCGCCAGGGCCGCCTCAACGCATTCAAGTCCGAGATCCCTGCACCCCCCGAAACCGACGAGGCGACGTACCACCAGATGTGGCACAAGTACACAGGCCGCGAGCGGGCCAACCTCCGCAAGCGCCGCATCCGCCTGCGTCACGGGGACTTCCAGATCCTGACGCAGGTCGGCCAGGGCGGCTACGGCCAGGTGTTTTTGGCGCAGAAGAAGGACACCCGCGAGGTCTGCGCTCTCAAAGTGATGAGCAAGAAGCTGCTGTTCAAGCTCGACGAGGTGCGCCACGTGCTGACAGAGCGCGACATTCTGACCACGGCCAAGAGCGAGTGGCTGGTGCGGCTGCTCTACTCCTTCCAGGACGAAGCCAGCATCTACCTGGCGATGGAATACGTGCCTGGCGGCGACTTCCGGACGCTGCTTAACAACACGGGTGTCCTCTCCAACCGCCACGCCCGCTTCTACATTGCCGAGATGTTCTGCGCCGTGGATGCCCTGCACCAGCTGGGCTACATTCACCGCGATCTCAAGCCCGAGAACTTTTTGGTCGACTCGACCGGCCACGTCAAGCTGACCGATTTCGGTCTGGCGGCCGGTTTCCTCGCACCAGCCAAGATTGAGTCGATGCGCGTGCGCCTCGAGCAGGCGTCGGAGACGTCGGTTCCGTTTGGCAAGCCGATGGAGCAGCGCACCATGGCCGAGCGTCGCGAGGGCTACCGGACGATGCGTGATAAGGACACCAACTACGCCAAGAGCATTGTGGGCTCGCCGGACTACATGGCGCCCGAGGTGCTGCGGGGCGAAGAGTACGACTTCACGGTCGACTACTGGAGCCTGGGCTGCATGCTGTTTGAGGCGCTGACGGGATTCCCGCCGTTTGCGGGTGCGACGCCCGACGAGACGTGGCGCAACCTGAAGCACTGGCGCGACGTGCTCAAGCGGCCGGTGTGGGAGGACCCCAACTACTTTTTGAGCAACCGGACGTGGAACTTTATCACCACGTGCATCAACGCGCGGTCGAAGCGCTTCTCGCGCATCGACGACATCTACCAGCACCACTACTTTTCCGAAGTCGAGTGGGAGACGCTGCGGTCCAGCAAGGCGCCATTTGTGCCGGAGCTCGACTCGGAGACCGACGCCGGCTACTTTGACGACTTTACGAACGAGGCCGACATGGCCAAGTACAAGGAGGTGCACGACAAGCAGACGGCGCTGGAGTCCATGGCGGACCGGGAGGAGTCCATGGGCAAGGGCCTGTTTGTTGGCTTCACGTTCCGGCACCGGAAAACGGGCCCGGCCACTGCGGACGAGGGCGAGAAGCCTGGAGGCGGCGGTGGTGGCAGCAGCAGTCCTCGCAAGCCGCTGACAAATGACACCTTTGGCGTGCCGCTGGATACGGGCGCCGCCGAGACCTATGGTACGATGTTGTAGGACCAGCATCCGCATCAGAATCACCAGCACAACCAGCACAACCAGCACAACCAGCACCAGAACCAGCACCAGAACCAGCACCAGAACCAGCACCAGAACCAGCACCAGAACCAGCACCAAGACCAAGACCAGCAGCGCCTCCGCCGGCACCGTGGCCGCAACAACCCGGCCGGTTTCGGTACACCCCCGCAGTCCTACGGCCACCACCAAAACTTGTTTACCCAGAATCGCATCATTCATCAGCAGCGTTACCTGCAGCGTCACAATCCTCACCCCGGCCAGCACAGCCAGCACCACACTATCCCTCATGTTCAGCCCCCCCTTCCACAATTGCAGCAGCAATTCTATCTGCAAAATTACTTGCACCCCGGTGGTACCTCTTACGCTTCGGCACCTGGAGCCTTTCCGGGCCATTTGGCCTTTCCCAATGACTATGTCCAGCAGGGACAGCAGGGACCGCAGCGACACCATGAGAAACAACAGCAAAAGCAACAGCAGGAACACCAAACATGGTCCTCTGGTGCCATGCAAGACCCATGGGGTGTTGCCGACAATGCCAGGCCCTCCCTCGCCAAGGATGTGTCGAGCGTCATGGGGAAATCGAGCAACCCAAGAAAGGGTCCGTAAGTGCGTTGCGTTTGTGTGTCTGGTTCTTGGTCTTGTTTCAACCTTTTTTGTTAGTGTCTTCTTGTCGCATGAGTCCTTCCCATTTCGTTACCCTTTGCCGCCCCTTGCATCGATACGCAAATGTTTCATTCTTTTCTTGCTTTTTGTCCCTCCCTTCTACACAACTAGTTTTCTGTGTCTTTTGGGGGATTTCATAAGAAGGGCTTTTTGTTGTACTTTATCCTGGTTTGGTGGTTTTATTTTTTTGGCATTGAATGTTTTATTGTTTTACCTTTTTGTTCACTGCTTTTATAGAAGCGAGTGGTAATAATAGGGGAAAGCGTGGGACTGGTAAAGCTATGCGAGGGAGAAGGTAGGAGAGCAATGGCATAGACGTCTGTTGTTTTACTTGTCGTGTCCGTCGTCGTTCTTGGTGTTTTGGTTTCTTGCAATGCCTGCTCTCCCCATCAAAGGTCAGAACAGCGTGGATCGCTGGATGATTTCTTTGTACGTATGATTTTCGGCTGCCACGAACAGCGTTTGCGAATCCAACAGTGTAGAGAAATTTCGATTTGTTCGTTAATGTCCACTGCTCGTTTGTCTCGGGAATTGTTGTCTGTTTCTCTCATCGTCTGGCCATCTCGTCGTTGCTCCCAGACCGAGACCAATTTGTTGTTCGCAGCAAGGCCAGCGATGCGATGGGGACGAACGTAGAGACAGATATGCTGCGTGTACGTTTGTCTACAGCACAGGTCAACCTCTTGTGAGTTGCCGTTCGTACTCTTCTTGCTGAATGACTAGGTGAATGGCACGTATCCGTGATGCAAGCGTCCAATCCCAGTACATTGTGTCTGCACTTTGCAGGCAGCATCAATTGTATCCACCATCCATAACATGCCGGCCAAACCGTGATCACTGACTCGTGACATGTAAAGTCGCTACGTCTTCACAGCCAGAGTCTAGTAACGGCCATTCAAATCAGTGACAAGATGAAGTGCGATCACAGCATCGTTTCGTCCGTCACTTCTTCTTGTCACAGGAGTATGGTCTCGTCAATATGTGAATAGCCTCGCTTGATCCAACTCGAATCCGCGTCCCCAAAAGGTATAAATATCGCCTGTCTCGAAGTACAAACTCAATCTTCATTTGCCCTCCTCCGCGGACACCAAGCAAATACATCCTACAGTGCCGACAAAGTTGCTTCCAACCTCATACCAAACAACCACAATGCCGGCCGGACCGCCCACACAGGGCAGACCGAGACGGGTACGTCACAAAGTGTCCTGTCTCTCGCTCATAATACATACAGCTAACCCTCACCGTAGGTAAGCATCAACGTGAAAGCCACGCCCGGCCAGCCACTTAACCCCATTGTGCTTGCCGCCGCCGCCGCCGCCGCTGCCACTGCCTCCAACGCTCGTGCTGTCTCCGACGACAACACCAGCCCGTCGCCCTCCACCAGCTCGCGCATGTCCAGTGGGAGCGCCACGCCGCCGGGGCGCTCGTCGCTGTCGTCCGGCACCCTCTCGCTGGAAGCATCACCCGCCCGCAGCTCCCCCAAGTCTCCGGTGGAAGACACCGCGCCCAAGACATCTGCGACGACGGTGCCTGACGCGCAGGCCATGGGCCCTCTGAAGACGAAGGCCAAGGAGGCCCCCGGAACACCCACAAAGGCGGCCGCACAGCCGTCTGGGGTCCCAGCGGCTCCCGCAAAGCCCAGCACATCGCCCCAGGGAACGCCCAAGACGACGTCCGCGACGCCCGTCAAGATGCCCGTCACGATGCCCGTGCTGCCCGGCCGGCCTGACTGCTCGTCCCGGCCCAAGGCGTAGGCTAGACAATAAGGTTTCCTCTGTCAGCGTTTTTTGAGAGCTCTGCAGGGTGCCGCCACTGAAGGGGAGGGCGTTTGCGGGAAGGACAGAGGAGAGACGTGGCAGGGAGCCCGGCAGTATAAGACTCGGCAGTTTCGGTCTGAGCTAGAGATAGGGGGTTGGGCGTTGAAGGCAAAGCAAGTGGTTCGCATGCCCTTGTCGACAGTATTTTACAGATGCTGTGCATGGACTGTGCGAACAAGACTTGCCAACGCGGGGGGAGCAAGGATCGGATCGTTTATTTTAGTTTTTAAAGTTTGTTTCAGGTATAACGTCACCTTATACGACTTTATAAAATAACAGAAAAAAAATTGGAAAAAATTGTTTGTCTATTATTTTTTAAAAACAAAAATTGAAATAAATCAAGGAAAATTGAAAACGAAATACGTAAATAATAATCTTTTATTTATAATCAGGCTTACTAGATGCTTTTGCTCGCTGCCAGCAATGTATCGAGTTAGCATCAACGACATGACAAGTTACCTTGCAAGATGAATCACTTTCTTAGACCAAAACAGCAAAGAAATCATGTGGCGAACCCGCACGACGCGTGTCTGTCGTCGTATGCAGTTTTTCTTTGTCTGTACCGTCGGTTCGCTGCCGCCGTCGTCTTGTTGCGCCGCTGTGCGAGCTGACGATGACGAGTCAGGATTCGCCGTCTGACACGGACATCCCCCCCGCCCACGACCGGAGTGAGGTGTGAGACATGGGGGAGCAGAAGTTTGGACGCTGGCCAGCCCTCATCCACATTCACAGTTGACGGCCATTACCAGCCCCATGGTCGTCCCTGCTGGTCATTTCGCTTTATTTTACAGGATCCTGTTTCTCCGTGATTTTGTTTTTTCTTTTCTTTTTTCTTCTTTTTCTTTTCTTTTCTTCTTTTGCTTCTCTCTTCATGTGGCGTAAGCCTTACGTCTCCCCTTCCTACATCGTCACACAAAGGGTTAGGCTATCCTCCCACACAGTCTCCTTCACTGCTCTTTTTATCGTAAATCGAGTCGATTCGTCACGTAGTCTCGGTCCCGACCGACTTGGTCACTCGTCAAAAGCTGGTCTCTCCTTTGACTATCAACATTGTCGCTCACCATTCCTAGCCATTGTCTTTTGCCCTCCTCTTTCGATCTTACGTTGCATGATGCAGGGACGCGCGGCAGTGATTCTTTCCCTTTGTCACTCTTGTTGGATGGTTTGACTGTTGTATCTTGGTTTTCTCTTCCATTCACTGGGCCAACGCATGCAGAGGTTGAGTTCGGCAGAGGAGCTTCCATGCAGTCAAATGCGGCCGAGAATTCACCTTCATTGGCCCAGCGGCACACCTTGAAAATCCAGCCTGCAAAACGAGGGCACAACGAGACGACACAGGAGCAACGCCACGCTTGCCTGCTATAGCACAGAATCATATTTTATTACCTGCATTTTCTGCGCTCTTGGCTTTCTAGCGGAGGCTGAGACCTTGTATTTCTCTTTTGGGGCTGCAGGATCGCTGGCCGTTTTGCTTTTCGCTGGTTGCGGTGGGCGGAACGGTCACCTGGCTGACCCTGTCGGTCCCGGGTAAAAAGGACGTCCGCTGCGGTCGAGCCACTCGTTTTTCTGCCTTCATACTCGAGGATCGCAGGAACGCCCGCCCTGTCCTCCCGTTTTCTGCCTCCCGCTTTATGCGTGCCACACGCAACCACTCAATCCCAGCCAGTCGGTTCGTTCGGCTGAGGGATGTGTGCACCAAAAAGAGGCTGGGTTCGGGATATCAGTTTTCGTCGTCACTCTGCTGCTCCGCTGCTTATTCCGTCTCCTTTGTCTTTGTTGTCATTCTGGCTGGCCCGCATTGTTTCACCATCCCTCACCATCCTTTGACCTCCAGTGACGTTTCCTGCCCTGCGGTACATGCGTCCGCCATGTGCCGAAGACAAGAGACAATACATGGCGATGCGCCAGAAAAGAAGGTGGCGCGCGTATTGTTGGACGAACACGTCGCATAAACGCCCCAAAAGTACGCCCTCCCTGTATAAGTGGCACTTGCAGCCCCGAGGACGACCATGTACGTCACGACAAAAGGCCTGACCAGATATATTGCCGTCCCCGGAACCCGGCCTTCCAGTCGGTCTGCAGCCTCTGCATTTCTTTTCCATTGATGAATTCTCCGTGTCTCGTTTTCTTCTTGCCTTGCACTATATTTAAAGACATCCTCGTCCGCATCTGCGCTTGGATTGCACATTGCACCTTTACAGTAAGGACAAACCTGGTCCCTCTTCTACGACGAACACACCGCTGCCATCCTCCTATCGCTTCGTACTCATACGCTCCCCCAACATCCACCACAACCATGAAGAGTCTTTCGACCTCGGCTGCCGTGGCCGCCGTCGCTCTGCCGGCGCTCGCCGCTGCCCAGCCGTTCTGGAACGGGGCGCCCGCTTGTGTGGTATGTTTTTCCATGCCTGCGTCTCCTCGACGCCCTCGGATCTTGATGTGTGTGCGCCCCCGTCTAACAGCCCCTCTCAGAAATCCTGCCTCTCGTCGGCCTACTCGTCGTCGTCGTCGTTCCCTTCGCCCTCGGCCTTTTGTGCCACCGCCGGTTTCCCCCCCGTCGCCAGCTGCCTCAGCGCCAGCTGCGGCGCCACCGCCACGGCCGCCGCCGTCTCCACCTTCTCGTCCGTGTCGTCGGCTCTCTGCAGCCTCTACTCCACGTGCGAGGCCGCTGGCAGCACGGGTGTTGTGACGATCACGGCCACGGCGGGCCACGACGGCTATGGGTTTGGCGCGCCCGGTCCCTTTGGCGGCGGACCGGGCGGACCAAACGGCGGACCGGGCGGGCCCTTTGCGTCGGGCTCGCACTGGCCAGCAAGCGGTGCCACCACGACCTTTACGGCTACGGGCTGTCCGTGGGCGACGGATGGATGGTGGGGCAACGGAGGACCCGGCGGCAATGGCGGCAATGGAAATGGAAACGGAAACGGAAATGGAGGCGACGACGGCTGGGGCGGCAACGGGTGGGGCGGTGGCGGCGTCTGGGGCGGCGGCGGCGGGTTCTGGGGCAGCTCGCAGAACGGCTGGGCGTACCGCACGGCGGCCACCACCGTGACCACGACGTTTACGAGCGCCGGCGGCGTGGTGGTGACGGCGACGGGCGTGGCCACGGTCGAAGAGGCCGCGTCGGGCGGGCTGACGAGCACGACGACGTTTTTCAACTCCGAGGTGACAAGCAGCGGCAACAACGGCAACAGCGGCAGCACGTCGAGCGGCGCCGGCCCGGCACGGGCTCTGGCCGTCGGCGGTCCGGGCAGCGGTTCGGGCGAGGGCTGGGCGACCGTCAAGATCATGGGCCTGGCGCTGGGGACGATGCTGGCGGCGGTTGGTATGCTGTAAGGGGGAAAACGGTGATGTCCCACGTGTATTCACTTGTCACAGTTCTCTGATTTTTTCCTTTTTCTGTTTGCTTCACGTCTCCGGCGTTGTCTCATGTCCTTTCACCCCATGCCTTCATGTACCTTGTTTCTCAATATGACGCAAACGACCGCTATGCCGTTGAATCGGATTTCATTAGTTTTATGACTGAATATGCCTTTTATCCCTCCTGTTCGACGCCACGCAAGTTTATAGGTTTAAAATAGTTGTAAAAAATCAACGTCAACATCGCAGTCGCTGCCCTGCGTAATTGTCCTATCCCACGCCTCGACCTATCTTAACCTGATGCCAACTGTAGGCTTCAGATTGCCACTGACGCAACCCACGACAACAGACTCCAAGTCGTCGGACGTGCCGGCTGCCTGTGCCTCGAGGCTCGCACTGCTCCAGACCCATTTGCGGTACACGGCCGACTCGGACTCTTCTATGGGCCACGACGCGTACACGCGCAGCTCGGGCGGGCTGGGCCGCGCCAGCGGACTGTCCGCATTGCGCGCGTTCTCCCTGTCCTGGGTAGCATCGTCGAGGACGACGTTGTCGGTGCCATTGTCGGTGCCATTGTCGGTGCCATCGTCGGCGCCATCGTCGTCACCGCCCAAGTCCGCCGCGGCCACGGCCGCCGCCACCTGTGCAGTCTCGTCGACATAGTCGTCTTCGTCGTTTTCAATCGAGAAAGGCACAGGCTCCTCCTTGGCGGGAGCACTACCGCTTTTCTCAGACAGCGCCACAAGCTTGTCGAGCGCCGTGATGGCCGACTGCGGCACCAGGCTGAACCGCACCTTCCAGAACGCATTGTTGAGCTGCCGGATCTCCATGCCGTCCACCGACGTCGCCCACGCCGTCCCCGTCCCGGACCGGTCCTCCCACTGCCGCGCCAGCTTGCGCGCGTGCGCCGCCAGCACATGCGCCGTGGCCCGGCTCAGGTAGTCGAGCACGTCGCGCAGTGTGCCGTAGTTGTCGGCGGGCGGGAACGTATCGAAAAGCGGGTTGCGGGCCGCCGGCGGAGCGGGTGGTGCGAGGGGACTCGCGGTCGCCGCTGGTGACGCTGGCGGCAGCAGCTGGATGAGGTACTGTGCCTTGAGCGGCACGACAGTCGTGCGGCAGCGCACGAGGATGCGCACCTCTGGGTTGATGGTGAACTCGAACGAAAACTCGCGCGGCGCCAGGAATGTATTGCACAAGCCTTCCGACGCGGACGGCGCCGCCTGGGCCGGCTGACCACCTTGTCCAGCCTGCCCAGCCTGCCCAGCCTGCCCAACCTGTCCAGGCCGCGGTGCAGCAGTCCCTGGTGGCGCAATGCTCATCGACAACGGCCGCTCATAGAGGGTGAAGCGCGACCCTTCCAGTCCCAGACCGTGCAGGATGCCGCACACATCAGAGAGGTAGCCCGAGATGTGCTGAATGGCCTTTTCATACTTGAGGTTGGCCACGATCGGTCGCAGCATATAGTAGATGGGCGGCTGGGGTTCCGTGTCGGTGATGGGCTGTGGCGAGGACCGCTGCCGGTAGTGGTCGCGGTGGCCGTGCGCGAGGAACAGCTGCAGCGACGTGCAAATGCCCGCCGCGATGTCGTTGAGCTTGGGGTCGTGCGTTGCTTCGGCCTCCCGCTTCTTCTTCTCGGCGGCCGACGTGTGGGCCGACGTGTGGGCCGACGGCCGATGGTACAGCGGCTCGATGGTAATGATGCCCTCGGTGTCGGCGCCGGCCGGGAACACAATCTCCGCGTCCCGGAACACGACCCCGTGCGAGAGCATCAGGCGAGCCTCGCGATTGAGCTCCCGCCACAGCTCCTTGGCGTTGACCGTGTTGCGTGCCTCGAGAATGCGGTCCTCGAGCGACGCCGACTCCGCCAGTCGTGTTGCCAGCGGCGAGCGGCCGATCTGAGCGGGACCCTGGTGGATCGTAGATGCTCCCTTTTTCCGCAGCGTCACGACAATCGCCGACGGCGCACCCAACGCGCTCAGGTCGAGCGCCACCTGCCCGTTCTTGACCCGCCGCAGCGGCGCAAAACTGAGCGCGCGCAGGTCCGGCGCGGATTCGCTGAAACCAAACTTGACGCGCAGCACGCGCCGCTGGCCCGGCATGCGCGACAGGGTCCACCCTTTGTCGCGCACCGCCAGCACCTCAGACCAGTACCGTTCTTCGCGCCGCATCTCGGTTCGCAGCCGCTTGCGGCCGGCTCTCAACACGTCGGACGCCCGGTCCATGGCCAGCAGCTGCCACCCCACGCACTCCGTCTTGTGCTCAATCAGCCGCTGCGCGTTGAAACGCGTCGTCTCGTCGAGCGCCTGCACCTCGGCCGCGGACAGACCCGAGGCGCCGCCGCGCCCACCCCCTCCCCCGCCGTTCTGGCTCTGCAAGGCACGCGCAGCCTGGGCGGCATTGGCGATGCGGCCGGCGCTCAGGGTGCCAATGCCAGCTTTGTCGCGGACGATGGGCGACAGGGTCTGCAGCGCCTGCGTCGGGCGGTCTTTGGACAGGAGGAGGGAGACAAAGTCGACGGCAATCAATCCGCTCTGCAGGGCGGCTCTGGAGGATCATTAGTAAAAGGAAACTATTTGTGAGCTGCCACCAGCCATCGGACGGAGGTCAAACTCACTCCAACGACATGAGGATCTCGTCGCGCTTCGCGAGCATCTCCTGGATGCTTCGTGGCCGGTCGTGCGACGTGTCGCGTTTGGCGCCGTTCTTGTCGCTGCTCTTCCTTTTGGTCGTCACTGCCGTCTTCGTGGTGCCTCCCCCGTTCTTTTCTTCCTTCTCCTCCTCGGCCTTTTCTTTCTCAATCTGCTTCTTCAGCTTCTCCTCCGACAAATCGCGAAAGTCGATCCCCTGGAACTTCAGCCGCTGCACAAACTCGCCAATATTGGTCGGCTGCTTCGACGGCAGCGGCCATGGCCGGAAGACGGGGTCGCGAGTGCCAAACAGGGGCCCGGAGATCGGAGGCGGTGGAGGCGGCGGTGGAGGCGGCGGTGGTGCCAGGGGTCCTCCAGAAGCCGATGTTGATGCCGATGTTGATGCCGATGCTGTCGAGGCCGCATCGGGTCGAGCTACCGGACGAGGCCTGTTGTCGGCCATGGCGGGCGGGCGACGTTGTGTGCACGCTCACAGTCGGTAACTAGATCGTGGCGGGACGGTGACATGTGCCATGAAGACGTGCATGCATGCAGAAGACGCGACTAGAGGGAGCTCCGTGTGCGATTTAGGGTCTTGGTGTTGACATTGATCTGTGCTCGCAACGGCAGTTGCATTGGGTGAGGCTGGGTGTGGCGCACAGTGTGTACAGTGCCTTCTGAACCTATTCCACTGTATACCTACTTCACTTACAGCTCCCCAGCCAATGAGAGACTCATCACTGCAAAAACATCAAAAGTAGACGGGAGCTGCACGACAAAGGTCCTTTGCCATCTCTCGACCGCAACGAAACAAGACGAATAAGAATCATCATCTGCACGGATGGTCCCGCCAATGCTCCCTGGATGTAGTATCTGGCCGAGTACGGCCTGTGCAAAGTAGGCTGCTGTTACACACAGAGTGCCAGCACATTGTCCATCGTGCGACGGAGAGGCGTGATATGTCTGTCTGGGAATACAACCGCGAGAAGACGACGACAATACATCCACAAATGATTTACAAACAATGAATAGACGGAGACGGATCATCGGACACTGAGGGAAGAAAGTGCCAAGAGAGAACTTTGAAAACCACGCAGCTGAACGGGGTGCGAATTCGCTCCTCAAGTAGTTTCGGTTTGGCAAATCTCTTATCAACGTAATACGAACGAATTGTGTTTCTATTCGCCAAGTGTCCTGAATTACTATTCGCTGCGGTGTATTTGCTTTCAATTTTCACGTCAACTACTTTCTCCTTAACTCTCCCATTCTATCGCCCCTTAGTTTTCCTCATCCTTCGAATCGTACCTGTACTCTCACAAACGGCCCTTTTATACCCCACCAAGAAGTGTCGACTTAAATGAAAAACACGCTTCTATACTTTATAATTCTCTTCACAGATTTCTTTCACAGAGGACAAAGAATTTCAAGGCTATTGACTCAGTAACCCTCGGCTGCTTCCTTGATGCCATGTTTTTGACAGGCATGCTGTCCTGACTCAGACACTGCCCATGCCCAGACGCCCGCCAAAAAGGGAGCAAGACACTTGTGTCGCCGCTTACGGAGGCCCGACGTCGTTGTTCGTGTCCATTCCAGTTGTGCTTGCGTTTGATCTAACGTCCCTCCTGTCAAGAAGTGTGAAGCTCCAGATCCCGCGGATTCGAGGGCAGCCGCGTCCGATTTCAGCGACACTTTCCCCTCGTGGACAGCGCGCTGGTCGCGGTTTCCTCGTTGCTCCCCTGCGTGATTTTCGGCATTACCCCACTGTAGCCCACCCCCCACCTTCTGTGCCCCCCTACGAGTCGTACACTTTGCGCGCCGCCATTCCGTTGCACTTTTGGCTGCAGCTGATAAGATAAGAGCTCCCACATCTGGTGCCGATCCAGTGAAGAAAAGAAGCACTCCAAGCCGCTCTCTTTTTCTCACTCCCTGTAATGCAACCTTTGAATAATTCGTACTCACTGTCAATGGTTTGCCCGCCTCGACGTCACTTCCTTTTACACCGTCCGACGCCCCTTCTTCGCTGCGCCGTACTTTGTCTGCATCGTACCTTCCCCAATAATACTATTTTTTGCGCCTCCTTCGATTATATCACCACATTCGCAACAGCACAGCTTTTCCGTTCTTTTCTCTTCTCCTTTGTTCGTTCCTTTTTCCCGACCACGTTTGACGTTTTGATTTGTCTTGTGGTTGCCTGTCGTTTTTACGTACTCGTGCTGTTGGCATCCAATCCTTCCATCTGCGCTGGTTCCTCCCAATCGAAGCACCTCCATCGAATCTTTCATCGCCCGCGGATCTCATAGTCGACTCTCCTCCCTCGTATTTTTGACCTGTCCCCTCTTCCTTTTTTCTTGTCGACGCCTCGGCCCCGTGTATGATGGCGAGTCCGTCCCCGCCGACGAATGGCAGCAGCAACAATGGCTTTGTGTCCACGACCGTGCCCGCCGCGTCGGTCGGCCCCGACGGAGTTGTCCGGAGGAAGAAGATTGCCATTATGACGTCTGGCGGCGATTCACCCGGCATGAACGGCGTCGTCCGAGCCTGCGTCCGCATGGCCATCCACCTGGGCTGCGATGCCTTCTGCGTCTACGAGGGCTACGAGGGCCTGGTGCGTGGCGGCGACTATATCCGCCAGATGGAGTGGCACGACGTGCGCGGCTGGCTGTCCGAGGGCGGCACGCTGATTGGCACGGCCCGCTGTATGGAGTTTTACGAGCGCGCGGGCCGCATGAAGGCCGCCAAGAACATGATCCTCCACGGCATCGACGCCCTCATTATCTGTGGCGGCGACGGCTCGCTGACGGGCGCCGACAAGTTCCGCGCCGAGTGGCCCTCGCTGCTCGAGGAGCTTGTCCACACCAAGGAGCTGACCGCGGACGCGATCGCGCCCTACAAGCATCTCAACATTGTGGGCCTGGTCGGCTCCATCGACAACGACTTGTCGGGTACCGACGCCACGATTGGCTGCTACTCGGCGCTCGCCCGCATCTGCGAGATGGTCGACTACATTGAGGCCACGGCCTCGTCGCATTCGCGTGCTTTCGTTATCGAGGTCATGGGGCGCCATTGCGGCTGGCTGGCCCTCATGGCCGGCGTGGCCACCGGCGCCGACTTCATCTTCATTCCCGAGAAACCCCGCAAGGACAACTGGCGTGAGGAGATGTGCGACATCATCCAGAAGGTAAGACCGGTACCTGTGCCCCTGTACCACCCGGAATCTCGGAAGAAGCTTGGCTATTGACACCAGCGACAGCATCGTGACCTCGGAAAGAGAAAGACGATTGTGATTGTCGCCGAAGGCGCGCACGACCGTCATGGTAACCACATCTCGCCCGAGATGATTCACAAGCTCCTCGCGGACAAGGAGGGCCTCGCTCTCGACACACGGATCACGACTCTTGGGCATGTGCAGCGCGGCGGTACGGCCGTCGCCTACGACCGGATGTTGTCGACTCTGCAGGGCGTCGAGGCAGTGCGGGCCGTCATCGAGGCGACGCCCGAATCAGAGACCTGTTTCATCGCCATCACGGAGAACAAGATTGTGCGGAAGCCTCTGATGCAGGCCGTGCAAGCCACCAAGTCGGTCGCGAGCGCCATCGAGGCCCGCGACTTTGACAAGGCCATGAGCCTGCGGGACACGGAGTTTTCGGACCAGTACAGGTCGTACATGATGACGGCGACGGTCAACCTCGACGCGAAGCAGCTGTCCAGCGAGAAGCGCATGAAAATTGGCTTCATCAACGTCGGCGCCCCTGCTGGTGGTATGAATGCGGCCATCCGCGCCGGTGTTGCCTATTGCATCTCGCGTGGCCACGAGCCGATTGCAATTCATAATGGGTTTGCCGGGTTCTCGCGCCACCACGAGGACAGCCCCATGGGCTCTGTGCGGCCCTTTGAATGGCTCGAGGTCGACGGCTGGGCGAGCAAGGGCGGCTCGGAGATTGGCACCAACCGTGAGCTGCCCAGCGAGTCGGGCATGGAGCTGATTGCGAACCTCGTCGAGCAATACCGGTTCGATGGCCTGTTCCTCATTGGTGGCTTCGAGGCCTTCCACGCCGTGTCGCAGCTCCGCAAGGCCCGCAACGAGTTCCCGTCGCTCTGCATCCCCATGGCCCTGCTGCCGGCCACCATCTCCAACAACGTGCCGGGCACCGAGTACTCGCTTGGCTCCGACACGTGTCTGAACGAGCTCGTCAGCTACTGCGACAAGATCAAGCAGTCGGCCTCGGCCACGCGCCGCCGCGTGTTTGTGATTGAGACGCAGGGTGGGCGGTGCGGCTACATTGCCACGGTGGCCGGCCTGGGCGTGGGCGCCAGCGCTGTGTACACGCCCGAGGAGGGTCTCAGCCTGGAGATGCTGGCGGCGGACGTGCGGCACCTTAAGGAGGTGTTTGTCAACGACAAGGGCCAGTCGCGCGCCGGACGGCTGATTCTGATCAACGAAAAGACGAGCCGCGTGTACAGCGCCAAGCTGATCGCCGACATTATCCGCGAGGAGGCCCACAACCGTTTTGAGTCCCGGGACAGCATCCCCGGCCACGTCCAGCAGGGTGGCGTGCCGTCGCCCATGGACCGGTGCCGGGCCGCCCGTCTGGCCATCAAGTGCATCGAGCACCTGGAGACGTTTGGCTGCAACGCGCACAACCGCGTCAAGAAGGACCCGCTGTCGGCTGCTGTTATCGGCATCAAGGGTGCCAGCGTCGTGTTCTCGCCCATGGAGACGCTCGAGGAGACGGAGACGGACTGGCCGAACCGGCGCCAGCGCGCGTCGTACTGGTACGACATGAAGGAGGTGGTCGACGTGCTCGCGGGCCGCCCATCGCACCAGTCGCCCGAGACGAGCCTGAGCGGCCTGGCGGCCAAGGACGCCAAGCGCGGCATCGTCACGCAGTGACCACGAACGACACTCGGAAGCACCAAAAGCAGTGCTACACGGAAGTTCGTCCCACACCGTTCCACGAAATGCATACGGTACGGGGGAATATTCACCCAGGGCGGGTCTCACGGAGAATGGGAGTTTTGACTTTGACTTTGATTTGGTTGTTGTTCGGCGATGTGGCAGGATATCTGTGGCTATTACGTATTTTGTGCTGTGCAGGGGCATTGTATCAGTGCACGGAAATGTATTGCGTGTTTGCATAGTTGCATGTTTGCGAGCTTTTTTTCCCTTTGATTTTCCCCTTTGTTTGTCTTTGATAGTCTCTTCCGTTGATTTTTTTTTCTCTCGATTGCATCTGCCACCGGCTCTTCGAATGTTTCTTGCCATGCGTACTTGCTGTCCATTTCTGTCATCTACTGCCGCAAGAGGTCCTTTTCATTCTGAGCACGCGTATGAGGGATGAGGGCTCCTTCTTCTTGTTGGTCTTGTTGTTTTCTCACACTAGGAACGTGTGTTAGAGGACAATGTCTCTCTCGTCGTCCAGTCCAGTTACATATGCCTTGCCTATAATCAAGCCACCCCGTGCTGTTCATAATAAACAGAATAGGAACCTATAATAAAAGCTAAAATAGGACATCTGGAAGCCATGCCATGGATAAATAATGCTCTAGCAAGTATGTTGCAACGCTACATGGCTTCCGCGCGTCCATGCTGTCTTGACATCGATGTCGGGCTCGGACAGCAGTAATTCCGAACCGAAAGCAATGTGCCCATGCATATTCTTGTCGTCCCTCGTGAGGTTGGTGTGTTTTGAAGTGCACACTGCCTTTGGTCAAAGACAACAGCTCTCAGGCGTCTCTGTTGCCAATGTTGATCACCTGAAGAGAAAGGGCAAATTCGGCGCCGAAACACCCCGCAGGTATTCTTGTTCTCGGTTTTACGTGGAAGGTTCCGTGCAAGGACAGGGTTTCCCCGAGTTTACGCGTCTGGGGGATTCGGTGGACTCGGTCGTCCAATGTCCGCGTTGGGGTACGGTATCGGTAGCAAAGCTGCGGTGCAAACAAGCAATAGCAAGTGGCAGACGCAGACGCAGCGTGTACGACAGATGGCCCCAAAGAGACAATATGGCGGTGGAGACTGTCTTTCGCGGTATTCCTCACGATACTATTCGTGGTATACGACCGCTACGTGTCAAGCATACTCAATAAAGTTGCACAGTCGCCGTTTTAGCATCATGAGGACTGGGAGGTCGCTGAACAGCCCAACACCACTGCTTACTCGAATAAACGGAGCGGACAGTCTTTTTCGCGAAACTGGCCTCTCTTCCCCTTTCTTTGTATTTCTTCTTTTGCCATCTTCCGTTCTATTTGGACATACAGTTTTCGCGACGGTGGTTTTCCTGGCTGTCTCCTGTTCACACGCCCCCGAATGTATTTCCGCTGTAGTTCCGTAATTCCATATCCGGTCCATTCTTGGCAATCGCATCCCCATCATGTCTACACTCTCTGTTGAAAAGCACATCGGTCAGCATTGTAATTGGTGGTCTCGCCCATAGCCAAGGCTTCACAGGGTCGTGTCAGACGTCCGGAAGTGCAAAGTCTAAACCAACGTCTTGTGATGCGTCATTGGCCAGCAAATAAAAGTATGATTCCATGTGCCGTACGTTGATGACCCTTTTCCCCCGCCTGTGCCATTTATGGAGCAGCGTAACAATGTTGGCTTTGGGATCGCCTTGCCTCATCGTCCTTCTTGTGAGACGTCACAAGCCTCGGCGGCGAACGTTGGTCACTGGCATCAGCCAGCCAGTGACAGCCACAAAGGATTCGTGCAAGCAAGCATGATTAAGTAACGTAGTCCGCAGGATGCAACGCACAACATACAAAACACAAAATCGGCGGAAAGCCGTACGGTATGAGAAAATCGCATCTTCAGCCCGCATACATAGGGGGGCGGTCATCCGCGTTCGATCGACTTCGTCCGAAGTTGGACGTGTCCCAATTTGCGCTCTTGGACTGGAAGAGGCCCCCGTGTGAATAGACGGAATCGGCCAATCTAGCCGTTTATTGCCTAAGTCCTCGTTTCTTTTGGCCGATTCGGCGACCTTCCGTCCTGGCTCTTTTTCTTTTTGTCGTTGCTTTTTCCTTCGTCTTCTCACGACCAGCAAACATGTGATATATCTGCCGTATCTCCGTTCGTTTGGCGACGACCTTGACATCGACAGCACGGATATCAATGCCGTGCCTATGGGCCTGTAACTTCTTTTCTTCTTTTTTATATTTTGATGTTCTGCTTGTCCGTTATTTGATTTGCCTTGTCCGTTTTTTTTTTCTTTTTTTTTTTCTTCTCGTTTTGCACCGTTTACCTGTTAACGGTCTTTTGTCCGCCGTTCGGTGGACCTAAGGGGTGTGGCCGGGACAGTGTGTGACCAAACATAGCCAGGCACAGGGCCCCTGGTCCACCTGGCCAGGTGGAGGTCGCAGCTTACACGCTCCGGACTCCGTGCGGTATGAAAAGTCGGTGTTAAGCCTACAAATCGTAGAGGTTAGACGGACGGAGTTTGTCAACGTCTGCCGTACTACAACTTACAGGGGGTTCTTATTTCTACCGTTTTGACCCAAAATGCCCTGAATCAAGTTTGGTAATGAGGAGCTTAGCGTTCGGAAAAACGGCCACACTACCACGTAATAAGTGACTCTGTCCGTCTCCAGTCACTAAACTGGAAGGGGATTGCTCGCGGCTTCGGCATTCGCCCAGCCTTTGGAGGTTCCCAACCAAGCTTCCCAGAGGCCAAACCAAACCAAAACCAAGCACAGGTAAGCTCCTCCATACGTATTCTGTAAGTAAATCTCCGCGGATGTCGACCACAGCCATGGGAATTCCGCTGAAGTGCTCGTCGCCGAGGAGCACAGAGCACGGAGTACGCCGTAATGGATTATTAGTATCCATATAAATAAATGCCTCGTAGATCGATAATGGCCGCAAAAGGGACGAGATGTTTGCTCTGCTCGTTTCTCTTGCTCTCGAATTCGTCGAGTAACAACATTTGTAATACTGACATAACATCATGTCACGACCATGTGGATCATTTGCCCCGAGATCATGGATAATATGCGAAATATGCACAATCAGTATTACGTGCTGTACGTTGTACGTGCTGTACTTCGTACTGTACGTCATTGTAGATGCGAGAGATGCAGCGTGAGATCTGCACTGAAAGATGCCAATACTCAGACGAGCATACGAGCAAGCGAGCAGCCAAACAATAAACAAATTCAAATAGCGCATGAAAGTCGGACGGACTTCATGCAGAAACTGCCCCTGTTACGATACCATCCTTTTCATCCTTCAACCTCTTCACTTACAGACACGTCGTACACACACACACACTACGGCTTGTCCCTCCCTATCCTTCCCGACGATCGTGATCGGTAAAATGAAAGAAATGCGGGGGGTGGGCTCGTTCCCTGCACGCTCCCTGCAGAAGTGAGGTATAGTCGAGTCGTAACAACATGCCGTGAGGAATAAGCATAGAGTGAGTGGGGAGGGGGGCCGAGAAAAGCGAAGACGCGATGCCGTTATTGCGAATGGCAGGCCGTGACGGTGTGGCAGCAATAAAAGCCTCAGCGTAGCCTGCCCGCGTTGTCCTTTTCTTCCTGCCATCTCCTTTTGTCATACGACGTCGAACGGAGTATCCTCTTCGCCATGCACCAGAACATCAGATATTCGGCACACGTTCCGGGCCATGACCATGCCGATGCCGAGAGAGCGAGACAGATAAAGAGAGGGCTGGATACGACAAAGAAGCGATGAACCCTCATGCCCTGTCAGGAGGGGACAGTTTACAATGTCTTGTTTGCTTATGGATGGGGCCTGCGGGATGGAGGGAAGGAAACCTCGACGACTAACATGACGGGCGAAGGAGACAGCTTCGAGGCTAGAAGCTTTCCCGGGTTGACCCTTTTCTAGCTCACTCTGCGGAAGATGGGCATGCTCTGGGAGCGGACCGCGTATTATTAGTTTAGTTATTTTGTCGCTCTCGCCGTCGCTGGTGAGCCTGTCCCCGTCAAAGGCGAGACCGAGTGTGAGGGCGGAACAAAATCCCAAACCACCAGAGACCCAGTCCATGAACGCGCGATTAGAGCAGCCCTCTTTTTCTTGAAGTCGAGAAACTGGCTCAGAGACCGTTGTGGCGGATGTATCTCGGCGTCCACACAAGTTCATCTTTCTCCATTATGGCCTTCTTCCATTGTCCCTTGTCGTCTCAGAACTACTTCGCAACGCCGCCCTATATGTTTTGTTTAAAAAATCACTGGAGATTTATGGGCCGCCGAGGCTCGAGGTTCGAGGTTCAATGTTCGAGGCCCCATTTATGTTTTTGCCGTCCCTCCAGTGGCACCTTTGCCAAGAGTTCGTCCTGTTTATCACAACGTGCTCGTCAAACGACAAGGACACTGTATCTTGTAATCAAATTGTCGCCTCGTCCTCTCTCACCGTTTCTGGCCCACGAAAGAATCCTTCTGGAAGGTTTTTACACGGCAGGTCCACCTGAGCTTACACCCTTGCGGTCTGCTAGCGTGTTGAAATATACGAGAACTGCACCAAGCGAGCAAGTTGTGCTGGTCGAATGCACTTTTTAAAACAAAAACCCTCTCGATGTTTTCTGTGGTCTCCATCGTCCCACCACACACGTCAACATCCAACTAAGACCAAAACCTAAACCCGGTGCCGTCTTCCGTAGTCCGAGAAGGTGTCATACGACGAACAAAACAACGCGATTGTCGCTTTTGGCTTTCTCCCTACGCCATAATCTTACTATTTACAGGTCCTAAATCGTGTCAGTCGCCACTATCGGCCTCGGCTTGCAAAATATGTCCGGGCTCCTTGGAGACGTTGTGTTGTCGTAGATGGTTTGCACAATGCACTTTTCCTTTCTCAACATAAATTTGCACAAAAACGCACTGACCCAATTACGAACAGAGAACGGCACCTAGCTGTGTGGGGTTGCCAGGCACAAA